TATTATGTATAATATATATATATATATATATATATTATGTATAATTAATAATTATTAATAATATAGTTGTCTTATTTTAAATTATTACATGATTTAAATATGAATTAATAATATATTAAAGTAAAACACTGACTTAATTTAATTAATCATTCATCTAATATAGATAGATAGATAGATTGATCGATGAATATATATTCATCTTTATATATGTATAAATTATATATATGTATAAATTGTTTTTAAATTTTTACTTTATTTTCTTAATTTGTGTGTGTGTGTGTGTGTATATATATATATATATATATATATATAAATTATTGATTATATTTTTGTGTTTGTGCATATCAAGTTTTATTTCAATTAATATATAAACGTTTTATTTCAATTAATATATTAATATATACAATTATAATACTTTATTCAAATTAATAATACATATATTTAAAAATCATATAAAACAAATGTCCTTAATCAGCATTTTAATCCACGTTACAGTAAACAATGAACTATAATACTATTCTGCTAGTCATGTCTCGAAGCCTCCATCTCTCACATCTGTCCGCGGGCGTTTCACTTTGTAACAGAGACATCTCATACATGGCTCTGATTGGTAGTTCACATCTACATCTCTGCTCCTATTGGCTGGACAGCGCACATTGGCAATGAGCGGAAGTCTCTCAGCGTGAGCGAGTGTGAGCCAGAGGGACAGAGGCGGGAGACAGTCCCGTTCAACAAAAGTGGCCCGTCAGGGAAAGTTGCCGGTGGGAATAGAGTCAGCGCTGGTTATTACATCTAAACAAGCTCGACAAGAATGGATATCGAGAAAGAAGTTAAAAAGGTACGCTTACTGAACTGGTAATAGTCCAGAAGGTTAGTTGTAGAAACATTCGGCAACGCCCAGGTAAAACCACTGCCATTGTTATTATACATGGCGAAACATTTGGCATCACGACTGTCACATTCGAGGCCGAGTGATTCAAAAACTTGGCTACATTTAGTGAGAAATAGGAAGTGGTCATTAATAGGAAGTAAAACATAGAAGGAAGATCCTGGTTCTCCTTTATTTGATAGAAACATGAATTGAATTTCATTGCTTAGTTAATAGAGCCTCTAGATTTTCTTTTTCCAAACTGTAAACAAGCTGGAAGTTGTTATGAATATTATGTTTCATTCCATAGATTCATTCACTTATCGTATATGGTTGTCATTGCAGAATGTGGGTTTGTTTCATCACTTATTGCAGCAATTCAAACACAAGCCAAGTTGTAGTAGTACATTTGAAGTTTAGTGGCGTTAAAATATGTTTTGACATACAGTACATGTATGGTAAATAAAGAAGTGGGTTTTTGCAAGAGGTGGTGTAAAGATGTGAAGTTCCTCTACTTGACAGCTTAAAGTTTTAGTTCAACCCAAAATGAAAAATTGATCATCATTTACTCACTTTCATGTCACTCCAAAGACACAAAAGATATTTTGAAGAAAGTTCTTCAAAGACAAGGGATGATGACTGAAGTTGTCAAACCTCACAAAGGATGCAAACTTACTATAAGAGTAGTTGATATGACTTGTGCACTTTGTGTGATGTATGGAATTAATGAAATTTAAGTCAGTTTTTTAAACTTAAAATCTGTCAAATGTATCTGTACAGTGACTCAGCTGGTCTAATTCACAAACCAATCTGAAAGATTCTTTCACAAATCTGACTCAATGATCTAGTTCAGGGGTGGCGAACTCCGGTCCTGGAGAGCCTCAGCCCTGCAGAGTACAGCTCCAACCCTAATTAAAACTCACCTGCCTGTAGCTTTCTGGTAACCTTTCAGACCTTGATTAGCTTGTTCAGGTGTGTTTGATTAGGGTTGAAGCAAAACTGTGCAGGGCTGCGGCTCTCCAGGACCGACGTTCGCCACCCCGATGTAGTTATAACAGTTAGCATCTCACTAGAGTTTTGATGAATTAATAAATTATTTCAGCCTATTTCTCATGCAAAGCTATTGTATGGCAGAAGACTTCAGTTATAATGTACTCTAGTATATTACTTTTACGGTGCTTTTGTATCCTTTTTGAAGCTAGAAAGTTGCAATCATCATTCAGTTTCATTGCATGGAAAAGAGCGACCAACAATCATCCAAAAAGAAAAGAAAAATCTTCCCTTTAAAAGAAATAAATATATTATATTGTATATGACATTTCCACACTTGCATAAAATTGCAAAAAATTGTGTAGTAATATTACAATGAGTTTGTCAAGGAAATTATCAATAAACACTACATTTTTAATGTCTAATTGACATTAAAAGATGCAAAATAATTTTTTCATTCGCTAAATATTTGTGAATGCCGCATAATTTTCACTGTCAAATAGATGTTTTTATAAACATTTGAGATTTGCACTCTATGTTCTCAGGAGCTAGAGAAGGTACAGTATACATATTAGTTACAGGTTTATGGGCCGAAATACCACAGTGGGCCTCATTGTCTTGCTGTTAAACAGTAACTCCTCAGATCTGGATTTTTAAGCAGAAAAAATTTTCTTTAACACAGGAGATGTGCTAAGCCCTCCAGGCGTTCTCCATCTTGTTAAATACTTGACCTTATAAGGCGGTCTTCCAGCTGAAGGCGTTTACTGTTGAGAACTGCTGAGACAGGAATGAGCTTTATAAAATAAATATTAGAATTTCTAAAGAAGTAGACTGATGTCAGATGTTTCGTAAATATATATTGCACTTGAAATCTCTTGTAGAAATAGAAGGGTATTTTGAGAGGCATTCTTCTCCTTTCTTTAATTATGGAGATTATGTCCTGCTTCAAACTAAAGAGCATTTTGTAAAGTCTGTAGTTTTTTTGTCCTAAATAGTAAGTTCTATGAAGTTTTAAGAAGCACTTGCTCATGTAACTAAGGAAAAAAAGCTTTCTTATGACATCAGCCTCTTAATGAATCTTGTCTGCTCGTCTTATGAAAAACAGACCCCAGAGAAATGCAGCTATGTTGGATTTGACAAAGTTATGCAAGTAATACATAAAAGAAGTTATAGAGCATTTTTTTCATGAACATGCTACATGTTGGTGTCTTTTTTTAAAATAAAGTTTTAGAAACACAAATGTACTTTTATTTTGTAAACTAGAAACGGAAATCCCTTGTGAAATCTATTAGACAAATAAATAAATAGTTTAAAAAAGGAAAAAAGAAATAAAACATTTGTTCCCATCATTTGGCTAGCTTAATATATGCTAAATTCACAACACTTTTGCCAATTTTGGCAGAGTTTTTTTTATTTATTTAGGCTGTTTATATAAATGTAATATTTATTGCTCGACAATGAAATGTTTTTGAAGTTTTATATGATCACCAAGATAGAACAAAAATACAGTAAAACTGTAATATTGTGAAATTTTATTACAAATAAAAAAATGATTTCAATGATGGCAAAGCTAAATTTTCATCATCTTTACTACAGTCTTCAGTGTCCCATAGTCCTTCAGAAATCAGAAAATATGCTGATTTTTGTTGTGATGCTTAATAATTAGTGCCATTTATTTGATAAACGCTGAATAAAATTCTAAATGTCTTTAGAAAAAAAGTCTTTGTATATATGAAGTTAATAATTAACATTTTCCAAAGGTTCAGCACCTCCTTTCCCTGGCTTTTTGTTGAAAAACATTTTTTTGTGAAATTTGTAGAAAGGGCCAGAGGGGTCACCATTTAATTAAAATACAAATGCTTTTTTAAAATTTCTGATGATTTGACCAACTCTGGTCTTTGATATTTGTTTGTGACTCAGGAAACAGGATTTGCTCATGTCTCCTGTTGTTTTGCCAGATAACCCTGGGCCATGAAATTGGAGCCGGAGCTGCCTGTCTGAAATGCAAGGACAAGTGTGAAGGCTTTGAGCTTCATTTCTGGCGGTTTGTGCTTGCTTCCTTCCTACATGTTTGCGCAGTGTTAACGTTCATGCATGTGGTTTTCATTGCGAAAAATATCTAATCATGTTGGGTCATCATTGATTTGACTTCTCTGTTTTTATTTGTCTTGACAAACTCACCAACATGCAATACCGTCTTCATCTAGCAAAAAGTTGTCCCACTGAGAGAGCTCTGGCCATTAGCTGAACTCTGTTGGTTTTCCTGAAGCAAGAACCACAGGTGCCAAGATGCCTGTGCCAGAGCTCTATCACAGCGGTGGTGTGTGCCATTCCCAATCACTCTCATGGGGTTCCAGCAATTCTTTGAATGAAAAGACGTCACTGTGGATACAGAGCCAGAGACTTCATCTTTGTGTTTGTTTCAGGAAAGGGCCACTAGCCATCCAGTGGCTGAACACTTCATTAGTGAGGTTAAAATGAGTGGGGTTTCTATGGAAGCTTATTTCCGCCATGGAATAAAAATATAAAAAATTGCACATTTTTATCTCACAATTCTGACAATTTTGAGCTATAATTGTCACATATAAACTCGTAATTGCGAGAAAATAAGTCAGAATTATGAGATAAAATGTTGCAGTTATCTTTCTTTTTTTTAAATGTGTGGCAGCAACAGAATTGTGTGAAAAAAGTCCATGTTGCAAGATGTAAACTGAGAATTCAGAGAAAAAACTGCAACACAAAACTGTGAGAAAAAAGTCTGAATTATGAGTTTAAAAATTCACAATGACCTATTTATGTTTTTATTCTGTGGCTAAAATGAGCTTCCATAAGTTTCCTCGTTGTGAAGTGACTCAGACAGGCTTTCTCATCTTTAATTCAAAGTAATTCTTTTGGAAATCGCTTTGGATAAAAACATCTGCTTTGATGCTTCGGGTCACTGACATGCTGAAACATTTCTTTTAGGTGAAGATAAAGCCTCTTTGGATTTGTGGCTACGATTTATGTTGTAGCATTTCCCAAATGCCATCATTCTTGACTCTCATTGATATGTTAAACAGCCCAAAATGTCGTTAAAGGGGCCACCTTCTACTTTTATAGCATTTTATTTTCTTCCCTTATAAAGTTAGTCAAGGTTTCTTGAACCGAAAATTTTTTTATAATTTAGTTTTCATTACCTTTTTCTCCTCTCTTACTGACCTTGCGTTCACAATGCCAGCAACAAAGTATTAATGACGCATTAACAGGGGTCTACCTTTTATTTGTTTTGGGGTTTTTCATGACATGTCCCATATAAACCTTGAAGTCTTTCATCTTACCTCAAACTTATTACAGCTCTCATTGAATGCAACACAAGGGTTTGTTTAGTATGGGTTTTTATTTTGTTTGTTATAGAAATGCACAAAAAAATCATGGTGAAAGTATTTCAATATTTATCCCACGCCGTTCTTTTCCAAGTAATTGCAGAATATCTATGCATGTCTTAACTTGACATGTGCACAGCAATCCAAACTAATGTTATCAGATTCTTACCTTAACAAAACAGACTTAACTCAGAGAGACAGCTCATCCTACAGTAAAAATATGCTCCTCTCATTCTCTGTCAGTCACTTGAGCTTTTAAAAGTCAATAAATAAGTTAACACAAGCTTTTTTCCCCCCAGTATGCTGCTGCTCTTTTTGGTTTTTCATACACTACAGTTCAAAAGTTTGGGATCGGTCTCTTAAGCTGCATTTATTTGATCAGAAATACAGTAAAAACAGTAACGTATTATGTCAAATGTTGAAAACAGCTGTGCTGCTTAATACAGTATTTTTACACAAACTCATTTTCAGTATTTGTTGATGAATATAAAGTTCAAAAGAACAGCATTTATTTGAAATATAAATGCTTTCTAACAATATAAATATCTTTAATGTCACTTTTGATCAATTTAATAAGTCCTTGCTGAATAAAACTATTAATTTATTTTTAAAAAATCTAAATGACCACAGACTTCTGAATGGTAGTGTATGGTTTTAAAGTGTTTCCTTTCCTTTGTCATCCCTTTTAACAGAAAGATTTGTCGAAACTGCAAGTGTGGTGTTGAAGACCATGACGTGCAGCTCGAAAATGAGGAGAATAAGAAGGTGGGGAAGCTTTTTGAGGACACCAAGTACACAGGCCTCATTGCCAAGCTGAAGAGAGATGGCATCCCGTCTTATAAAGGCAACCAAGTCACCATCTGCATCCCGGATGCCACCATCAGCACTGCTAGTCCTGTTCCTGCCGCTTCCTTTATCCCCGGGTCCAGCCAGAGTTCCATCCCCAGTGCTCATTCTGCTCATTCCCAACCTGCTGGTGCCACTGCTGCACCAGTGGCTGCAATTCACTCCCCTTCTGCTGCCCCTGCAATAAGCCGTACCCCAGGAACAGGCCGTACAGCTGCATCAGTGCCAGGCCATAGTGTGGTTTCATCTGCTGCCATCCCAACCAAAGTCCCTGTTGCTGCCACTACTGTTGTCCCAGCCCCTACCCCAGTGCCTGCCAAAACAGATGTGGTTAAGTCTGTTACCTATGAATGGGCTCCACCTGGAGTCAACCAAAGCTTGGTATATTCTATTCTATTCTGATTCTATATTTTAATATATTTAAAATATTTTTTATATTATATTTATATTTATTTTTTGGAATTTATGCTTGAGGGTGAAGTTTTTAAATGTACTGTGATACTTGGATCCACTAGAGGTCACTATTCTCCACTTAATGTTTTCAGAATAATTATTCAGGGGGAAAAAATGCATGTTGTTTTTTTTGGCCTACATTAATCTTTTTGTTTTTTCCTGTAAACTTTACAAAATTAATTTTTATTTTTAATTATTATGCAATTTTAAATATATTCTGTTATATATATATTTAATATTTAATGCAATTTTAGGCATTTCCATATGACTTTGTCATTTATATTTGAATGCTCGGTTTCACTCAAATATACATCACATTCCAGAAGTTAAATGGCTTCCACATCTAATTTAATATTTACCAAAGAACTTCACTTCTGTCCTCTCAGGCTCTGCAATACATGGAGCTTCTGCCTCCGGAGCGGCGGCCCATTGCTGGTACGGCAGGAGCAGATTACCGTAAGAAACAGATGGCTAAGCAGCTTCCTGACCACGACCAAGACCCCGAGCGCTGCCACGAACTCTCGCCCAGTGAGGTTAAGCAAATGCAGCAGTATGTCCGCAAGTACAAGGATGAGGCGCTGGGCGTAGGTGACATCACCCTGCCCGAAGAGATGGGACAACAGGCAGGTATGGCTGGGGAAAGGGGTCCACAAGGCCTCGGGGCAGGAGGGAAGCCTGGTGCTGGAACAATAGGGACCCCAGGAGACAAAGGTGACGCTATTGCTACAATGGGAAAAGTTGGCACCCCAGGGGCTGCTGGGACTTCACCCGCTGGACCTGTTGGTAACTTCGTAAGTATGCCATTCCCATGTATGCCATTTAGTTTTGCTAAATGACATTTCGTTTAAGGAATGTAGAAATACTTTTAAGTGATATAAATAGAGAACAAAGAAATTAAAGATTTGGGCTGGTAACTGAAAGTTGTGAATCTAACATGGACAAGATTGTCATGGATACATTTTACTGTTACATACAAATAGCTTTTGTAACCTTTCAATCCCTTTATATCTAAATGACTCTCAACCTAATTTATAGGCATTTAAATGTCACCATATATTCATGAAAAATCCCCTTTGGAGCTGTTGAGCAGCAGTATTTATTTCCACCACATGTGCGCTACAGGAGCGTTCTCCAGCGCTTATCTCCGGATTCACTTGATTAACATAAGAGCAGTTCAGATTCTGCCACGCCTGTGTTAGTCAGGCAGCTGGAATGAACGTTATGTTCTTCCAGAGATCTTCATAAATTACCACACTTAGTCCCTGTGGTTATGTTCAAGCTCGGGTGGATTTTTCCAAAATCTATTGTAAGCATCTGAAATCTCATGATGGAAACACATGTATGCAATCAGCCTAATGTTTTTGCCTTTTTAAAGAGATAGTTTACCCAAAAATGAACATTGTGTCATTGTTTTTCCTTACTTTCTCTTCTTCTCTCTGCTCTATTCGATACAAAGATGACAGTGACTATGAGATTTATTTAGGCCAGGGCCTTGTAACTGAAGGATTTTTTAGCTTCTTATTTTTCATTTTGTGTTTAGTTTGGTTATAAAGCCATATTGTGAGAAATAAGATATTTAATGACATGAATACAAGAAGATATAGTCATAAATACAAGTAAACATTGCTTTGAGATATAGTCATAAGTACAAGAAATAAAGTAATAATTATGAGATATAAAGTCATTTTAAAATATAGTAATTATAGTAAACTATAATAGTATAGTATAAATACAGGAAGTAACATAATAAGCAAAATATTTGAATTATGAGAAATAAGGTCATAAATACATGAAACATGTTTTGTTTTATTATAAAGTTGCATTGTGAGAAATAATGCTATAGAAATGAAATATATAATGTCATAAATACAAGAAGTAAAGTCAGTATGCAAAAGTTGCATTGTGATTTATAATTATGAGAATTAAAGTCAAAATTACACATATACAAACATAAATATATTGATGTGTGTGTATACTTTTTACATATATATATAAGTAATATTGTGAGAAATAAAGTTATAAATATGAAACAATCATGGGATATATAATCATAAATACAAGAAGTAACATCATAATTACACGTAATATCTGCGTTATGAGAAATGTGGTCAGTATGCAAAAGTTGCGTTGTGATATAAATTCACAATTTTAAGAATTAAAGTCAAAATTATGAGACAAAGTCATATTGTGAGAAATAAAATTATAGATATGAGAAATAAAGTTGTAATATTCAGATATAAAGTCATAAATACAAGAGGTAAAGTCATAATTATGCAAAGTAGTCAAAAGATATAAAGTCTTGAACTACTTTCAGGAGTATCTTTTTTTTTCTTTTAGATATTTCTTTTAATATTCTTTGTTGAAATGAATGCATAACTATTGTAACTATGATTTTTGATATGCATACACATTTAGATTCTCATCCTGCTGTGTATTCACACATTTTGTTTGCAAATATTGTACACTTGTAATTCCCGGGCACTTTAAGGCACTTTAGGATTACTCTATCAACACCTGCAACCAGATGCCGTACATTGTGACACATTTCATAACCATTTAATGGTGCCCGGGCACTTGAGACAAGTGAAACACATTTAGCAGCTAGTTTTACAACTCCTCACACTGTCCGAGTGTCATTCATGTCACGCCTAAATGGAAGTGAATTCCTGCTAAGCCTGGGCTATTAAAACTAACAGATTCAGCGTGTGTTCGTCAGCCGCATTGGTTCAGCAGGTGAAGGAGATTTAGGAAGTGCCAGTGACATAATAATCAGAGGACAGGGAGGCTGAAAGCACTCTTAATGGAGTCGTCTGATATCAGACACCACCGATCTCACTCAACACCTGCCTGTCCTATGACACACAGCTCTTATGACTCATCTGTTAGACATTGGCTTAGGAAGGAAAGTTCAGACATTCAAATAGAGCAGATTTTTTTATATTTAATCATACACTTTATATTAATATAATATTTAGAATAATTATTGGCATACACTGGGTTAATTGTGCCTGTAACAAGTGTAATTAAAGACCTTTGGGAGCGAGTCACAAGTGTTATTTCAAACAAACAGATTTGTTATACTACTTCCTGTGAATTTATCTGTATCTCTCTGCGTTCACAGTGTTGTGTGGCCTGTCAGAACCCCATCGAGCCTGAAGCTCAGCGTGTGTCATACGGAGAGTACCACTGGCACGCTGAACCCCAGTGCTTCCAGTGCTCTTGCTGCTCCAAGTGCCTTGTGGGCCAGCGCTTCATGGCCATGCAGGGCATGCTGCTGTGCTCCGTGGAGTGCAAGAAGAAGATCATGGCCTCCTGAAGGAATACCTAGGATTTAGTTTTTAGGAAAGTGCTTAGAGCACCGCAAGCCAGTTTCTACCTAATGCATTACACAAATATATACTGCCATCATTTTATTGAGTAATTAATGTATTTGTATGACCAATCATAATTTTCATGTTATTCCAAGTCCTTGTTTTTGTATGAGTTTTGGGAAATAACAAGCAATACAGAGGAGCAGCGACTGGTAACCCAAATTAATCAGTGTCGTCAATGTGACTGTCTTTAATATTAATGATTAAGTATTAATAAAGAGAAGCAATGATGGCTTTTGTTCTTCGGCTACTGAAAAATCGATATTACTCATATTTTGCATCTATTTCTTATGTCTAAAATGGCACTTTATTTTCTGTAGCTTTCACTTTGTAATCCAATAAATGTTTTGCAGTAATATGAATAGATTTTTTCCCCCCAATGTTTTCACTTCAACTATGTATCCAAATATTCATTGTTATTGTGACGTACAAGTTCGGGATCTCAAGGGACAGGTGTTACGCTCGTGTTAATGTCCTCACCATTTCACATAATTGAAAATTCCAATCCAGGCCAGCACTTTTAGGGAAAAGTCAGCTCTCCGCGTGTTGTCTTACACTTAGCTGTGGAAACTGGGCACAATTCAAGGAAGCCCGGTTCCATTGTCTCTAATGGTGGCGAATTTAAGACTATGCCGTCATTTCCTCCTATCGTAACTGTCTGCAGTCACACGAGGGGCTCGGCTGTTTCACCTCCCCTCACCTCACGCCACACTAGGGTGGAGTTTTCCAGGAGGGAATTCTTTCCTTCAATGTCAACCCCTTGCCCAGGAATTTATTTACATGGTGCTTTCCCTGCCAAACAAAGCACCCTTACTTGCGCGCTTGCCTCCTTAGCACTTGTTTTCCCCATGAGCACTAACAGTGCCAGAGAGATGATCTGCTGATTTGTAGCTCCCCGGGGTGAAGAAACCCAGATGCAAAGTGTTGCTGCTGTTTAGTGAAACTGTAGCACAGGCCCCACACATGAAGAGTCAAGACAGGCCAGGGAGATGATCCAAATCCCCTGGAGGACCCTACTGGTGACAGCAGAAATGTGACAAAATGGGATCCTGGATTTATACCCGTTACTCCCAAAACTGCTGAGATTGTTTGGTACAGACACTTGAGAAATGACAGTATTGAAAATTCGGATGTCAGGGATCTGCCTGTATATATTCTGGCTAACTAAGTAGTGATCTCTTTTCAGCCTTAGTTTTAAAGCGTTTGTTTTGCCAGACCCCCTCCTCGTCGTGGTCATGTTTATCTGGCCTTTAGCTGAGAAAATTTTCCTAGATAAGCGTGTATAAACTAAATCGGTTCATTGTGTAGTGTAATATAAACCATATTATTGTAAGATAATCTGGTGTTAGCACATTATAACAGGGCACATGGCCACATAAATCAGATAACTGAGAGATTGTTAGATGGATAGAAAAATAAACAAACTAGATAGATAAGAGATAATCGGATAGATACAAAGATAGTCAGATAGCTACAAAGATGGTATGATAGATACGTAGATGGAAAGATGGTATGATAGATACGTAGATGGAAAGATGGTATTGATAGAAAGGTAGTTAGATATCTTATCTATATCTATTATTATATGATTGTATATATGGAGGATTTACATTTTGTATTATTTAGTGATTCACAGTGCATCAGTGCCTGTTGGAGACACTACAATAGATGTAATGTTAATGTGAACAGCTGTTTCTTCTGGGTCCATTAGCTTTCGCAGCAAGTTGAGATGCTCCTGCAGGAGGCGCTCTTCCCCATTCTATATGTTGTTGCACAGCACAAGGCTTCATTATTTTGTTTATAGCAATGTGCAACTGACACCCAGTGCTTGTGTATGGCAAGCCGCTCACCATGATTTCTTTGAGTATGGTATTGTATGACACCCTTGTTGGTCCTTTTTTTTTCAACCAGGTTTGGGGTTTGGCCTATAGGGCTGATTTGAGGTTTGAATAACATTTTTATCAATCTATCATTTCTCTCTTTTGGAAATGTGTGGTTAGGTTTATGACTATGCTTCTTTGACAAGAATATTGTCTAAGAAACATTGTCCATCCCAAGTTCTTTGACTTTTAGTTGTACTTAGTTTAGAAATGATCCAATGGCATGAGACTTGCCCAGACGCTCCAGGTAAGTTTGATAGGAATGTAAATATAAGAAGATAAATGTCAGCTGTCTCACTGACTGATAAGCTTCTCCAACAACATTCCTCCTAAAAAAAGAGAAAACAAGAGAGAATTTGACACATTACAGTGACAGAAACAGAAGGAACTGATGTGCTGGCTGCCAGAAAGGACCTGACACTCTTTTTCAGTCACTTCGGTGATGTTTATGTTGCTATAAAACCCTCATATGACCACCTCTTTTCACATTTAACTCCTGAATATTGCTAAAGATCTGAATTTAGGGCTGGCATTGACACAAATTTCACGATTCGAAACGATTTCGAGATTCGATGACTATTTATTTTGATATATCAGGTACAGTACGTGTACATTTTTCTCAAGGAGTAAGATTTCTCAACTAATGCTGTAAACTGCACAGGTAACCCTGACAGTTGGTACATTACTTTAAAGATTAAAATGAACAAATCGTTGTTAAATGGCTTTTCCAAGGTAAATGAACGCCAGTGACATTTAAAAGTATTTTTATGTCTTTCCGGTCGAAACACTGATTGAGCGATTAGATGAGACTTGATATTTCGGTACATTGTAGGCTACTTTATCTTTCAACATAATTTATTATGTTTATTCATGGTTATTTCGTGCTGTATTTAGTAGGAAAGAGGAAGAG